CCTTTCTATCATTTTTCTGTACTGGCACTGGGGCTTGAACTCAGAGCCTGGGCGCTATCACTTGAGTCATACTTCCAGCTCCAGCTTTTTGCTGGCTAACTGGCAATGAAAGTCCTAAGGGCTGGGCACTGGTGGCTCATACCTGTAATCCTAGCTATTCGGGAGGCTGAGATCTGAGACTCAGGGATCAAAACCAGCCCAGGCATGTAAAGTATGTGAGAATCTTATCTTCAATTAACCATCAATTAACCGGAAGTGGAGCTGTGGCTCAAAGTGGTAGAGCACTAGCCTCGAGCAAAAAAGCTCAGGGACAGTACCCAGACCTTGACTGACAAGCCCTATGATTGACCAAAAAAAAAAAAGAGGAAAGTCTTAAGGATTTGTTTGCTCAGGCTGGCTTTGAACTGCAGTCCTCAGATCACAGCCTCCTGAGCAGCTAGGATGTGAGCCACTAGTGCCTGGCTCGGTCTGTAAACTTTCATTCCCTGACCAGCACCAGGGTGTGGTTTCTGAGAACAAGGGCAAAAGAGCCCCTTCCCTGACTCTGAGGGCTCGTGGCCCTTGGGTCGCAGATGGGTGCCACCCCTGCAGGGCATGTGGGCTCTGGGTCACAGGCTGGAAGGTCCCCAGGTCGCGGGTGACATGGGTTCCCATGGGAACCGGGGGGTTCATCCAAGGTCCCTTACTTTTCTAATCCTTACTGGAAGTGGTTCATTCCCTAGGAAATGTTGCCACCCTTTACCACCAAACCTTGTATTCACAAAATATGTCTCTCAGAAATGTAAAATGGAGCAAGATAGAACTAAAGTTAGGACCAGAGGTGAAGCAACACATCCCAGATACCTTACAAAGACATTTATTAAGCAATGACTTGAAAGAGGAAGGAAACTCAATATTGAATTCCATACACAGCTTTGTGAGAACTATAGTAGTCTTTATTAATATTTCAAAAAACAAACTTAGAAAGAATTGCAAGTGAAAATACCACCAGTGACATTTCTGACACATATAACAACATAAATTAACCAAGTACAGCATTAAATTCTATGTGGATTTAGATACACCATCTACCATAGTGAAATGGACATACAGTACTCTGGGAGTTTAACACACTCAAGTGTTTCTAGGATGAGAAACCTACACTACTAAAAGTAAAACACATAAACATTTTTATGGTTGGAGCCAGGGAGGTGTTTTTGGATTTGAAATGCTAAAATCACAAAATCTTCCTAACCCTTCTTTCTCATCACTTTCTCTGTGGTCGAGGGAGAGAACTCTTCTAGCACATTCTAATAGAAATTTCTGGTCACTTAAATGAAGCATACTTTTCGAGGATAATACTGTTTTGCCAGTGTTGAGGGTAATTGATAAAGCAATGCAGCATCACAGCATAAAAAGATTAATTGGAATTCCAATAAATAGGCAAATTATTAGGAAGGGCATAAACATAGCAGTTATTTTTAGGATAATGACAATTCTACCAACCAAAATAGCTAGTATCTAACATCATGCAAGAGATTGCCAAAGGAAAAGCACAAAAACAAACTTATCCAATCTTTCCCGCTACTTGATTCAACTTTACAAATTTCAGAGAATCAGTGTGATTGGATTCATTGAATGTCGATAAGTAAATAATTTGAGCTAAATGCAATGAGCTTTGATAAACAGTCCTTTCATCTGCTGATTTTGACTAGTAGCCTCTTTTCTGGATTGAATATGTATAGTATCAATTCACTCACTGAATTAACATTTGTCTCTGTCACCTAAGTAAGTTACAATTGTACATCCTAGCTAGTATTGTGATTTAAATCACAAAGAAATGATAGGAAACTTATAAACTAATAAACCATGTTGGAGAGAGTATATCTTCTATTGATATTATCTTATAATGACATTATTTACACTAGCTGCCTTATTTCTGAAAGCAGAAATCTCTTTTCTGTTCACTTAGACATTATGATGAGAAATTTTTATAACTGTTAATATGCGTATCACAGTTCATAGATGTATGCACTACTTTTTAAAATGAAGATTTTCAGGCACCAGTCTTGCAGAAAAAAACCTCACAGTTTTGTTGTTAATATTAAATTCAAGTATGTGGATAAAAAAAAAAAGAGAAAAACAGCTGAAACATTAATGCTGAATGAAATAAGGGTAATTGTCATGATTTCAGGTAAGCGTTTGTATGACAAAAGCTGGAATTTTAAGCCAAATTACATCACAACCTTCATTGTAATAAATAGTTTACCATGAAATGACTTTGAAGGTTGCTAAATTTCCTGATCACAAAGCTTCCTATTTTAAAATAAAGGATGGCAATGCGCATTACCTTTAAAGCAATGATTTAAAAGTTCCTACTCAGGTAATAGTGAACATGCTGTCATGAAGATGATCTAATCCTTGATTATGAGACTGTGTGAAATGTGGGCGAGATAACCAGGAAAATGGAGACACAATCAGGCCTTGAAAATAGCTTACCCACCCCCACTGTGTGAGGGAAGAATGTGGAAGGTGGTGACAGACAGGTTAACTCATGATACATTGTACTGGTGTATGCAGGATGATCCCAGTTCAAATCCACTCTGAGCCAGTGTCTGCACCACCAAAGTGGGTTGGCTGTTAGATAGTTTCCCTCCAGAGATGATTATTTCATGACTTAAAGATATTTATCGGTCACCTACCAAAGCATGATATTGAAATAATTATGTTCTCACAAAGGAGAAATAAAATCTTTGGCTTATTAATTGCTAGGCAGATACTAAATGCTGAGAAAAGATAGGCTTTTAAGAACAACCTTCCTCAGAGTAATTTCCTCTTGTCCCTGAGTCTTAGACTATAAGTGAAGTATAATACAGAAGTTACAGTTAAAAAAAAATTGCTGAAGAGGATGAATTGCTGAAGAGCTCTTTCTCCACAAGTAGCCTCTGAGTTCCCAGATTGCCCAGTGCAAAACTCTGTGTGTGTGTGTGGAGGGGGGGTGTACGCGCGCACACGCGTGCATGTGTCCTCGCTGTAGAAATTATTTTCCAGAATTGAGTTAGGCTATGCTACAAGTGCAACCCCTCAAGAGATGGAGGACCAGCGAATAGATTAAGTGACTAATTAGAGGTTGGGTTTGTTTTCCTCTAAAGTAATCAACTATGCAATAGAGGTTAAGCTTTTTGCTTTGCTTTTCATTTCTTCTCAAGGAGGATTTGGCTGAATTATCTTTGGGAGATTTTCCGTTTAGAATAAAAATAGTAAATTCTCCAATTAATGTTTCATGGACCTAAATGCACTGGTATACTTAAAAAAAAAGTACTCATATGTTCCTAAAACTAAACTGAGTAACCAGCTTGCTAAAATTCTGCGTCTAGACTGAATTGTTGTGAACTTTTAGTGTCCAAATGGATTTCAGATATTTCTTTAGTGAAATAGTTCTTATGATGAATATGTTCGGATGTTCAATAGATAGCCAATCAATTATTACAGCATGATAATCTTTCTTTTGGATGAGTAAAAAAATCATGGCAGTAATTTCCTTAAATAGCTTAATTAGTTCCATAGTTAAAACACTAACTTTAAGTATAACCTGCTTGTAAGATTCAGTACTGCACTTGCATTTAAAGAAAGCATTTTTGAGTGATATATTTAATACAAAATGGTCCATTATACAGGGACAGTGTATACAAATGAAAAATTTAACTTTATAAATGTACAATATTTAGTTGAAGGTGTCTACTCATTCATAATTATGATTAGAAGGCTGACTAGAAATCAAGTAAACACATCTATCAGATAAGCAGTGGAATATAAATAGCAAAAGAAACTCAGAGAAAGGACATGACATAGATATGTCAAAAATAAATGACTGCTGTTTACAAGTTTTGAATATTAATAAGCAGTAGCATTTACTAGATTCTGAGTCTTGTACCTGGACCTACCTTCTACATCTGAAAAAATTCTAGCCTGTGAGCTTGTCAGAGTAAGTCATTATTCCTTCCTCCACATAAGTCAAAGCTTAAGTGTTTTTATTAGGCCAAATAAGGCAGTTTGTGACTGCCTGTCACTTTTTTTTTTGTAAAATTGCAATTCTTGAATAGTAACACATTCAACTAAACTTAAGCACATTCTGTTCTTTTTTGGGACTCATCATTCTAAAATTCTCCTCTGTTTATTCACCAGGAAAATGTACTTATTTGAAAACAGTTAATATAAGATTATTGAGAATTCTGTATATACTCTAGAGTCTTCCTGCTCAGTGTTGTTGCCTCTACTCACATTTGTCCAGTGGACAAATTTGTCTGTTGGAGTTGAATTTATGAACTGAATTTCTCCTTTTAACTAAATTTGAGTTCAGAAAGTTCTTGTTGATGTCATTATTTGAAAACTGTTAAGGGTATTTATACCATTGAAATTGCGGAATTGACTCTTTCATCTGTAAACGTTCTGAAACTTAGATGCACTGTTCTACCAATGAAAACAATGTCCAAATAGAAGCGGGGTGTAAGTATAAATGCCATATCAGATTTCAGGATTAAAAAAAAGAAGGTAAATGTCTCATCCAGGATTTTCATATTGATTATTAATGCATGCTGAAATGTATTTCTCTTGGGAAGCATGTTCTAGAGCTTTATGAAAACTTCTAGTTTTTAAAAGTCAAGTTTTGAAACATATTTTATTGTAATGCTAGTCTTCTAATCCAATCATTTTGATCACTATGGGAAAGCAAATCAGATTTAGTGTTTTTCCAGCCAGGACCATAACTACTGGCTCTGAAACTCCTCCTCTTTCTGAGATGGAAAGCCCCCATCAGTACCAGCTCCAGAACACAAAGTTATAGGCAGTGGATTCATGGGAAGAGAGTAGGACAGCATAGATGAGTGTGGAATACAACCAAACTGCTCAGACCCTCCCCACCCCCATTGTCTCCAAGTTCATGGGTCCCTAAATCTGGAACTGACCTTCAGCTTCCTCCCAAGTCCTGCCTGATGTCCTATGGCTTCTGGTTTGGAATAAGAAGCAATGACTGGACTGGGACATGTGCTCTATCATGTGTTGATACTAGATTTTGTCCAAGCCCGAGAACTTTCATCTTTCAGAGTAGACATCTTTCTCTGGGAGGATTCAAATCCTAGGAGTTTAAACACAGCCATCCGGTACTTCTTGGACATGATGTTGTACAGAATGGGGTTGATGGCAGCACTGAGGTAGAAGAGGACGAATGACACCAGGTTGCAGTATTGGCTGATCTGAGCAATTTCTAGGGAGCCAGGCTCGAAGGACTTAGAAAACAAGTATCTCCCCACGTGGAAGGGAAGCCAGCAGAGGATGAAAGCAAACACCACTACAGCTGTGAAGGACAATGGGAGAAAGATGGTCAGGTCAAGAAACATCACAGCAAATCATGTTCTATCTTTAACACTTAGCTTTCTTTAGAGAATGTGTAGTGTGGTCACCGGGAAACACTGCTCTGCTCTTGACATAAAGAAATGTTATGTTTCTGACCTTTCCCATTCCTACACTCTAACCAAGATGGAGACTGAACCCACAGTTCAGCAATTTTTACTGAGCTGCTCAGCCATTTCTATTTTTGATTTTGTGATTTGAGTTAACATAATGACCACACTCATCAGCCAATTCCTTCCCCCAAATCAACCATTTTATATGTATCAGGCCTGTATGAATGAGTCAGGATGATTGTACTCAGCCATCACTGGTAATCAGATACCTGTGGTGCTTTTAAAGAAAGCAGATTGGAAGGAGATACACATGCAGACATAGAGAAAGAAAAATAGATGATAGATGCATGAATGGATGGATGGATGGATGGATGGACACATGGATGATGTATAGATAGATATAAATCAATAATGACTAATATAAACTATATATAAACTATTTAAACTATTATTACATGTGATAAAATAACATATACCATCCACTTTGATTTGCTCAAGTAAGATTTTTTTTCAATAATTCTACATTTTTCAAATTGTGTTTAAAAAATTCAGAAACTATGAGGGAATGGAAGGGGTTGAGAGCGATGAGAATGAATGATGGAAGATGTAAACTGACTCATAAACTGACATGTTGGATTAAAACCCTTTGTACAACTACTTAAAGATAATTTCATGAATTGGGGAGAGAAAAACGGAAGACAGAGGGAAAAGGATCTATGAGTGCTTGTCCCCATTCAGTGATCCTCTTCAGAACTGTCAAGGAAGATGAAAATTAACATGGTAGTAACATTAATTCCCAAGGAAGAAACAAAACAATATGCAGGAGGCTGGTTTTGAAAATTTGAGTAAAATTAATTAATGTTTTGCTTGGATTAAGAACACATTTTTATAACTTCCCCGAAACCAAGCACCTAAGGTAGTGAGTTCATACATTAACTATGCAGCATCCTGGAGTTGTGGCACTGCACCCAGGGCTCCTTGTGGGGGCCACTGAGGGGGTGTAAGTCCCGCAGGTGCCACAAAGTCTCCTTTCCTCTAAGGGGACACTTGTCTAATCTCCTAGCAAATGCTGCTCACAGTCACAGATAATGACCTAAGCAAACCAAAGGAGACCTGAGCACCAATCAGTCACTAACTTTTTTTTTTTAAACAACACTGCCATAGACACAGCAGGGAAATAAACAGTCAATGAAATAATCTGAAAAAATCTCCAGGACATGGAAAAAAAAAAACCCCTCCAAATGTAGAAAGAAAAATAAAAGATCCCCTATAGAATCAAACAAATTGGTCATGGTTTGGGTGATTTTGCCCCTGAATACTTCTTCAATCATTATGTACCTTGGATATTCTGCCATTTCTCTTTGAAACAGGAGCTCCAATGTCACCTTTCACACAACACAAACACAGTAGACTTTTATGAATGATCTCGGTTTTGAAGTAACTTTCTGGACTAATGTGAAACTCATTTTAGGGAAATAGAAAAGTGAGACTGATTCCCATGAAGGAGAGAAAGAAGGTATAGCAAGAAAAGAGATACAAAGAGATGGAAGAGACCAAAAGAATCAAGACAATGACAAGTGAGAGAGGGGGAGACAGAGACAGACAGACAGACAGACATAGAGAAAGAAAAATAGATGACTGAGATAGATGATAGATAGATAGATAGATAGATAGATAGATAGATAGATAGATAGATAGATAGATAGATAGATAGATAGATAGATAGATAGATAGATGGATAGATACTGGATATATACAGAAAGAAGTCCAGAGACATCAGAGAGGCAATAACTAGAGGAAGGAGATGGCTCGGTAGATAATGGATGATTGATGATTACATACATGATAGACAAATAAGATAAATGGATAGATACATATATGCATACATACATCATGCATACGTATAAATATAATAGAGACAGAGACATTGGAAGACATGCGATAACAAAGTAAGAGAGGAAGGAGAGAGAGAGAGAGACATGGACACACACAGAAATCGAGATGCATACAGAGAGCCAGAGAGCAGGAGAAGAGAGAGACTCCAAGCAGGGGCAGAGGGGAGGACAGGAGAGCCAGGCTGGCGACAGCGGCGCGCGATCCCGATCCCGTGGCGCGCGGAGACTTACCGAGCATCTTTACCGTCTGCTTGTGGTTCTGGTCCCTGAGGGAGGCCCCGGCGGCTGCCTCGCCCCGGCGCCGCCGCCACAGCTTCCTGCCAATGAGGCTGTAGAGGACCGTGAGGCAGAAGACGGGCAGGAAGAAAAAGACGCTGGACACCCACACCATGACGGTGAGCAGCCCCGAGCGCACGGCGAACTCGGTGGCGCGGCACTCGTTGGTGTCCCGCGGGTCGGTGCCGTTCTCGTGCTCCACGCCGACCAGCACAAAGATGGGCCCGGCGCTGCAGAAAGCCACAGCCCAGATCACCAGGATGACCAACTTCACCCGGCCCTTGGTGACCACCACCTTGGCGCGCAAGGGGAAGCAGATGGCGAAGTAGCGCTCGACGCTGAGCGCCGTGATGGTGAGCACCGTGGCGTAGGTGCAGCTCTCGCTGACGAACTGGAAGAGTTTGCAGAGCAGGTCGCCAAAGTTCCAGGGCCGGTACTGCCACAGGCGGACCAAGTCCAGCGGCATGCACAGGAAGATGAGCAGATCAGAGAAGGCCATGCTGGATAGGTAGAGGTTGGTGGTCGTGCGTAGCTCCCGGAAGCGCGACACCACCAGCATGGTGAGCAGGTTGCCCGCGATGCCTACCGCGAACAGGGCCACGCAGGTGGCCGTGACGCCCGCAAGCAGCGGCGCGGGGAACAGGGGCAGCAGCAGCTGCTCCGTCAGAGACTCGTTGCCCAGGGCTGCGTCCCAGTCCGGATCTGCCACGGTGAGGTTGGGCTCCAGCTCCTCGGCGGGGGTCGCGTTCCACATGTTGCCTGGTGGCCTTCGCTGATGGGAGATCGCGACGGTGCGGGTCCCCGGGCGAGTCCGCTCAGGCGCAGAGAGTGCGAGGAACGAGCGCCCGGGCGCAGTGAGGATGCTTGGAGAGGAAAGAGAGAGGTGGGGGGGGGGGGGACGGGCTGGAGCCAGGGGAGAAGGTGAGACCTGAGAGGCGGCCAGAGAGCTAGGGGGAAGAAGGGGAAGACGGGGGCAGGGGGGCGGGGGCGCTGCGTCGCTCTGGCACCGCTGCTTCCCTCTAACCTCTTGCACAAACTCCTGGTCTCCGAGCCCAGCCTCCCCGCGGCACCCACACGCCTACCTGTCAGCGGAGCAGCTGCGCCGGCCCGGCCAGGAGCGCGCGATCTCCACCCAGCTGCGTCTCACACTCGCTGCCCAGAGCCAGAGAGCGGGACCGGAGCGCGGGGCTGGAGCGCGGTGTAGGAGCGGGAGTTCTCTCCTGATCCTTGTGCGCGCTAGGGGAGCCCGGAAGGACTGCTCATTCCTGTAGTAGGGGTGGACACCCTGGTGAAAGAGTCGGGGGCGGGGGGGGGGGGGAGAATCTTGGTTGGGGGAAAAGGTGAACGTGCCTGGCTTGATTGAGAAAGGGGTGGGGTTAGGAAAAGAAGGCGCTGGTGCCAGGATCCTGGCTATTAGAGGAGACAGAGGCACACCTGGAGAGAGCCTCACAAAGACCCAGAACGCCATCGTGTTCACCAGGAGAAATAAGTTGAGAAATGAGAACCGTTTGAGCAAGCTCACTCACGGAGTGGTTAGCATAAAAGAGAATTCGAACTGAATTCCGTGACTCACGCCAGTAATCCTAGCTACGCAGGAGGCTGAAATTTGAGGACAAAGGTTCGAGGCCAACCAGGGCAGGGAAGTTTGTGAGACTCTTATCTTCAATTAACCACCAAAAAGCAGGTAGTAGAACTGTGGTTCAAGTGGTTGAGTATTATCCGAGAGGGAGAGGAGAGGGAAGAGAGAGAGCGAGCAAGCGAGCGAGCGAGCGAGCGAGAGAGAGAGAGAGAGAGAGAGAGAGAGAGAGAGAGAGAGAGAGAGAGAGAGAGAGAGAGAGAGAGATTTGGGTTACTCAGCGAGCTTGGGCATTCAAGAATCAAGAGGCAAGATGAGTGAATAATGCCACCTCAAAATTCAGCTCCCTAACTAGGGTGGAGGGGAGATTGCTTTTGCTCGGTGCAAACCAGGAGCAGGACAGAGGAAGGACAGCGTCGTGGGTAAGATGAGGAGTGGCGGGGGAGCAGAGGCCGGCACACACTGGAGTGCGCAGTGTTTTGATGCCTGATCAGGAGCCATGGACCCTTGGGTAAGGCTTTCAGCCTTGGAGCTTGGCTTATTAGGGTGTGTGAGTGAGCTCGGTGTTGGGGTCAGGGGCATCAGTAAAGGAAATGAAGGCTGCTAGGCCGTCACCGCGATGAATGGATGGAGACGCCCCTGCGTGACGGGCAGATCCCCTGAGCGCAGCCTGGGCACCTGCTGCCCAGGATTACAATTGGCATCCAGGAGGGGAGACTGCCTGGCCAGAGAACTCCCTTCCCCTCCCCTATCCTCTCCTCCTCCTCCCCCCCACAACCCCAAGCCCTTAGAAGCCTCTTGTGGCAGCTATCCAGGGAAGGTGTTCAGCACCCTGGCCAGCGCCCAGCCCATTGGCCAGTGAGCCGCCTGCAAGAGCCATTGTCATCCTTGGCCATTCAAAGCCTCAGCCCTGCTGCAATTTATTTTTTTTAAGGTTTATTTATAACCAAGCAGGGTGCTGTTGACTCACACCTGTAATCCTAGCTACTCCGGAGGTTGAGATCTGAGGAGTGTGGTTGGAAACTCGGGCTGAAAAGTCCTTGGGATTCTTATCCCCACTTAGCAGCAAAAAGCAGGAAGGGGAGGTATGGTTCAAGTGGTAGAGCACCAACCTGGAGAGAAAAAGCCAAATGAAAGCACAAGCGTACTTGAAATGGATTTTAAGCCCAAGATCAGCACCACCCACAAAGTTCACTTGTAACTACTATTTAAAAAAATATGGCAACTATATGAAACCATGAATTACTAACTTGATTTTTTTTGAAAAAGCAATACTTTGACTTTCCTACTCCCAGCTCTACATTGTGTGTGTGTGTGTGTGTGTGTGTGTGTGTGTGTGTGTGTGTGTGTGTCACTGTGAGTGTGTGGACAAGAATATAAAATAGACTGAGAAAAATAAAAATGCTGTAAGAAGTTATTGTCTAAGAAAAAGAATCAGGAAAGTATTGTTAGACATATTTCTAGTCTGTTTTATGGCTAACAGGAGCGGGGAGAGCAAAAAAAAAAAAAAACAATGAGCCCCCCAAAATACTATAGTAAAATTTGTCATGTTGTCACAGCCAGTTATTTAATTGTACCTGGGTATTTTCTACAAAACAGACAATCCTATGCTGTGGGATTACAAAAGAAGCAGAAGATTCTATGACATAGATCAGTTCATTATGTCATTGTTATAAAATATGAAAAAGCCCTGTTTCTCCATGTAATAAAAGCATGAAAAGCACTAACAACAAAATAGGTGAAACCCAGATAGGCTCTGTGTTGATAAGCTTGTCTGGAGAGAAAAGTATAGTTAAAGAAGCAAGTATGGGAGAGTATTCCTAGGTGAATTTTTAGAGGTGGGTACACACACCAGAGTAGAATCAAGAGAATTATGAACTACTTTAATGTTGGCAAGTTTTAGGAAAGGCTTCTCGGTAGAAGGGGCATCTGAGCTGAATCTTAAAGAATTTGAGTTCTGTCTGGAAAAACAAATTCATTCACCTATTCAAAAGGCCCACAGCACTTGGGGGGGGGGGGTGGGAGAAGCCAATATATCTTGTCCTATGAGTGCTGTAAAGATTATTGTTATGGACTTAAGGATTCTTGTATAGCCCATCAATACTGACCAATGTCTGATTTTCTTTTGATCCTGAAATTGTCCCTTTTTTTGCCCAATGGTATCCCTTTCAAGCTGGCTCCAGAGTACTTTTGACATGGCGCAAATGTTGAGAACTTCCTTGCTTTGTGGCCCAATGTGATGTGTGGGGCTCATTTTGTAAATGTTCTACTCTAGACCTGAGAAAAGCCATGTACTTGAAAAATACATGGGGAGAGGGGGGATTTGGGGGACTAAATTTGAGTAGTAGGAGGGAATGATTGCATAGCCAGAGTGTGTGTGTGTGTGTTGTTGTTGTTGTTGTTTTTGCTTTGAAGTTGTGAGATGATGATGATGATGATGTAATAGTAAATCAGAGACATCCACAGTCTATTTTGATCAGGTGATCAAAAGTAATGCCATTATGCTACCAGTTGGATAATATTCCAGGGGAAATGGGAACTCTTTTTTTTTTTTTTTTATTCCTAATGCTCTTTCCCTTTCCTGGGCATTCTCTATCAGAGCATGTGGTCCTTTAACTCTTTCTGAAGAGTAACAATCTCTTTCTTTTTTTAAAATTTTTTATTGTAAAGATACTATACAGAGGGTTATAGTTACATGAGCAAGGTAATGAGTACACTTCCTATTGAGCATTGTTACCTCCTCCATTGTTTTCCCCCTACTAACCCTTCCCTCCCTACCTTCCCCGAGGTTCTTTTTTTTTTTTTAATTGTGATTAAGTGATTACACAATTTCCCAAATTTCACAGTATTGTGGAATAATGATGCTTATTTAAAGTCACAAGTTCATTCTAACTTTCCTGGAGCAAATTGTCTATCACCATCTATAACATATAATGGTGTACACATATACACCATACATGTGATCAGCAGCATGGGGATATTTAGTAGTGGTTTGACCAGATGAGTGGGAGTTCTTTGTTTCTTAAGTCCTGTTAATTTTGTCGTATCACCTGACATTTTGGATTTAGCATCCACTTATCAGGGAGACCATGTACCGTTTGTCTCTTTGCTCTTGGCTTACCTCGCTCAACATGATTCCTTCTAGCTCCATCCATTTCCCTGCAAATGCCACTACTTTGTCATTTCTAATGGCTGCATAATATTCCATTGTGTATAGATACCACAATTTTTGGATCCATTCATCTGTGGTGGGGCATCTGGGTTGTTTCCATATCCTAGCTATTGTGAACAGTGCTGCAATAAACATGGAGGTGCATGTGTCCTTGTATATTGGTTCCTGTCTTTAGCTTTCTAAGGACCCTCCAGACTGCTTTCCAAAGTGGTTGTATAAGTGTACATTCCCACCAGCAGTGTAATAGGGTTCCTCTTTCTCCACATCCCCTCCAGCATTTGTCGTTGGCTGACATTCTGACTGGGGTAAGGTGGTATCTCAGGGTTGTCTTTACTTGCATTTCCTTCACCACCAGGGATGATGAACGGGAATGGGAACTCTTAACCTAATGATAAGGAAACACCTCACAAACTGAAACAGGAGAGCACTTTATTTAAAAATTCCTTTAAAACTAACAATGTTTTAGTTTCTTTTTTTTGTTTGATTGTTTTGTTTATCTGTCTTTTTGGTGGTACAGTAGGCACAAAAATGGAGAAACAAAGGGTAAGCAAATGCATCAGTGGTACTATACAACTTGTGCATGGGGATGGAGGGGGGGCTGGGAGAGAACAAGGGAAGAAGTGAACTGTACTTATTATCTGGTTTATGAGATGCTAACCCCTCTAGACATCACCTTAATAAGAATTTTTTAATCCTCTAAAACTTCAGTGTTATATGAGACAAAGTAATACTGAAGTTTACCATCTTCTCTGTGTCAGGAACATACAAACATACAGGAGGGAAGATGGCTGCACCAACCACCACCGGAAATGTTCCAGACTAGAGGAAATCAAGGAGAGACAGTTAAACATCATTCCTTGTCCCAGAATGGATCCCAGCTGTTGCCATTGACACCCATAGATAGGGAATAATAAAGTAGGTAGAAATGTTGGATCGATGTTTTCTGAAATCAATAACTGTATGAAAAGAATGTCTATTCTTAGAAATACACATTCAACCATAATTCATG